GCCCATTGGCCTGAACTAATCACACACCCAGTCACGGGGGTCAGCAAGGGCCATCCGCACATCTGCTTAGAAAGGGAGGACGGAGGCAGAAATTTAGGTGCCCAGTACTCGTGATGACAGCAGGTGGTAAGATGAAAGAATTAGCATCTTTGAGCCTCCATTTCCTCATCTGTTAAATGGCCATAACCACAGGTATAATATGGTTCCTGTATAACAGTATGGTGTGTAAGGATCGAGTAAGGTCATGGGGCAGTTAGTATAGGGCTATAATAAATATTAGTTGCTCTCCTTATGTCTGTATGGCGACTTGAACTGAGGCCAATCAGTCTCTTCTCTAAACACTTCATTGGAGCAGGGGAGGGGTGGCCTGAGGCCGCCACCAGAACCTGAGCCCACCTTCCTGCTCTGCAGATCCGGACGCGCCCCCTCTCCTCGCTGCTCATGCCACTGGGACTAGGGCGGCGGAAAAAGGCACCGCCACTGGTGGAGAATGAGGAGGCTGAGCCAGGCCGCGGAGGGCTGGGCGTCGGGGAGCCAGGGCCCCTGGGTGGGGCGGGGGCACCTCAGATGGGTCTGCCCCCTCCTCCCCCTGCCCTGCGGCCTCGCCTCATCTTCCACACCCAGCTGGCCCACGGCAGTCCCACTGGCCGCATCGAGGGCTTCACCAACGTCAAAGAGCTGTATGGCAAGATCGCAGAGGCGTTCCAACTTCCAGCTGCCGAGGTACTCACTAGGGAGCTGGGCACCAGGACCCTGGGACCCTGGGCAGGACCACAGAGCACCTGACAGTGGGCTGGGGACCTGAGCCTGCATCCTGCTCCTGAGCTGGGGCTTAGGTGCTAGGCTTTGTACTTCAGATGCTGAGGCCTGGACCCCAGGGGATTGTGGGGAACTGGAGGTCAGGGCTAGAAGCTGAGTTCCTGTCAGGCCCTGGGAAGCCTGGACTCCAGAGGATTGTGGGGGCTGAAGGGAGAGAGAGGAGGAGGGGACTGTGGGATTGAGCAAGAAGTAGACCAAGCATTTACTGAGTACCTGCTGTGTGTCAGGCTCTGTCCTATGCCCTGGAATCCATAGAGGACAGAAATCCTGGTCCCAGCAGAACTGACATCTAGTGGGGCCTGCCCTGGCTCCAGGTGGTCAGTCACTGGGAGAGAGACCCCCTGCCCCAACCCTTCCCCCACTCTCCTCCTTGCCCCATTAGGAAGGGAGGTAAGGGATAAATGTGCCCTACCTTTGCAGGTGATGTTCTGCACCCTCAATACCCACAAAGTGGACATGGACAAGCTCCTGGGGGGGCAGATCGGGCTGGAGGACTTCATCTTTGCCCACATCAAGGGGCAGCGCAAGGAGGTGGAGGTGTTTAAGTCAGAGGAGGCATTGGGGCTCACCATCACGGACAACGGAGCCGGCTACGCCTTCATCAAGGTGCCTTGGATGGGTGGGGTGCCCCAGTCCTGGGTGAGGGCAGGTGGAGTCCTGAGACGCTCGCGGAGGCCCTGGGGCTGACAGCTCCCCTCCCACCAGCGCATCAAGGAGGGCAGCGTGATTGACCACATCCAGCTCATCAGTGTGGGTGACATGATCGAAGCCATCAACGGGCAGAGCCTGCTGGGTTGCCGGCACTACGAGGTGGCCCGGCTGCTCAAGGAGCTGCCCAGAGGCCGTACCTTCACGCTGAAGCTCACGGAGCCCCGCAAGGCCTTCGGTGAGGGCATCTCTTGCTCCTGTGGGTCCAGGCTGCAGTGCTAGGAGCTGCCAGTAGGTGGCACCCAAGGCCAGTGGGCGGCAGAGGAAATGGGAGCAACCCCACCCTGCCCCTGAGAGGGGGTGCTGGCTTTCTGCCTAGTCTGGGGGGAAGGTAGGGGCAAGGAGGAAGCTGTCCCCACACCCAGCTTCCAGGAGCCATTAGCCCAGCCAAGCGCCCCTAGCCCTGGCCAGCCCCCCACCCCAAAGGAGCCAGGCTTGGCTGCACCATGCCAGCTTCCCCCTACCCCCACCCCACTTCAGCGATGGGCTTCACTAACTCTCAGGAATGGGCCTGAGGCCCCTGGGGTGGGGGTGGAGGACACTAAAGCCTTTCCCTGACAGGTAGGGCTGGTAGCCCAGCAGCTATATGCCCTTTGGCTTCAGAGGGGGCAGCTGGGTACCCAGACCCCACCGTGTTTCTCTCTCAGGCCCTGGGAGCAAAAGGGACCCCCTCCAGTCACCCTTCCAGCCTTTTCTCTCCCCAGCCTCTGGCTACCCTTCCTATACCCACGCCAAGCCTGAGTCAGGAGTCCTGCTTTCCTGGGGTCACCTCAGCCCCCACCCCTGGGAGTGTAGGAGAGCCTGCAGAAGCTCGGAGAAGGGAGATGTCAGGGATCCTGCCCAGAGTATGCTGAGAGGGGGCTTTCCCAGCCCTCACCCCTCAATGCCTCCTACAGACATGATCAGCCAGCGTTCGGGAGGTGGCCACCCTGGCTCTGGCTCCAGCTCCCAGCTAGGTACCGGCCGAGGGACCCTGCGGCTCCGATCCCGGGGCCCTGCCACTGTGGAGGATCTGGTGAGTGTTCCAGCCACACACCCCATCCTCCCCTACCCCTGTGCGCATTCAAATCCTACCTCTGCCACCTCCTGCTCTGAGACCTTGAGCATGGGAGGCTCAGTTTTTCCGTCTGTAAAACGCAGATAATATAACTACTGTCCACTAAAGGCTGTTGTGAGGATTAACTACAGGTTAACAAAAAAGTGGTTAAAAGATGGCCTGACACTCACTGAATCGATTACTGTTCCATTCATACTACTGTCATCGCTGTTCCCCCAGCCTTCAGCCTTCGAGGAGAAGGCGATCGAGAAGGTCGATGACCTGCTGGAGAGTTACATGGGCATCAGGGACACGGAGCTGGGTGAGTGGGCACCTAGGGCTGGGGGTTGGCAGGAGGCTGGGGGAAGGGGCTTCTAGGTCCCCAGGGGCGGCTCTCTGACTCTCAGCCATCTGCCTCTCCATTCTGCTCTCCTCCAGCGGCCACTATGGTGGAGTTGGGGAAGGACAAAAGGAACCCAGACGAGCTAGCAGAGGCCCTGGATGAGCAGCTCGGGGACTTCGCCTTCCCTGACGAGTTCGTCTTTGACGTCTGGGGTGCCATCGGGGACGCCAAGGTTGGCCGCTACTAGGCCACCCACTGGACCTTTCAATGACCTGGGCCTGGCCTCGTGGGGACCCCCAGAGGGGCCACCATGTCCTGGACCCCAGCCCAAGGGCAGTGTGGAACAGAGATGGGGCCGGGCCCTTGCCCCACTCCAATCGGTACCACTCCCTTCTCGTTCCCCAGCCTGGCTGGTGTCCCCGGGCCCCCTGCCCTGCTCCCCACCTACCTCAGCCGGGTTAGGCGCCGCAGGGAGGGACCTGCCAAATTGGGAGGCCATCCCCGCCCTCAACACTTTCCACATCAGCTGCCAAACTGGTCCCTCTCTCTCCCTGGGGCCTTGGGTTCTGTTTGGGGTTTGCGACCTCCTTAGTTTCCTGACGCAGGGAATGTAGAAGGGGGGCAGCCCCCCTCAGCAGATGCAATAATACCCTCCTTTTTGCCGTCTCCCCCTGCCTCAGAGGATCCCCTTGCCCTGAAGTCTGTTACCTCCGAATCTGAAGAAGTCTGCTGTGAACCCCAACCTCCCCCGCCCAGCCCGGACCTTCCAGGCTAGGGATCAGGCAGTGGGCTTTTGTATCTGAATTTGCTGTCTGAACATAAAGGATCTATCTGCTGTTGGACCTGTGTGCTCGGGGTGGGAGAGGGGGTGCGCCAGGGCTGGGAAAGAATGCAGCAGCTGAAATCCATCCTCCTCAGGCTCCAAATTGAATTAGACACTGCCTGCCCGCCCCCTCCCACCGTTCCGCCTGATGAGGCTCCTGGCTGGAGGCCATGTGCTTCCAGGCAAGGCCAGGGCTGGTTGGCCTACTGAAAGTTCAAATCCTGCTTCCTCTGTATGAGCCTTCTGGAACAAGCCTTCCCGTGCCCCAGGCTGATGTCACAGGGGCCTGAGGCTGTTGTATGTGGGGGTGACCCCTGATCCTTGGGAGCACCAGGGCCAGAGGGCATCCAGGCCCAGCTTGCAAAAGGGAGGAAGAGGCAGGCAGCACTGTGATGGAGCCTCAGGCCTGCCGTAAGTGCTGATGGGAAGGGGCTGCCCCCACCCTGCCCAGGGCAGAGTTACTGCCCACCCTACCCCCAGGGCAAAGGGGGTTCCGGGCACTGCCCTGCCCCCACCCCAGCAAATTCCTAGATGTGCAGGGTCTCTGGTATCCAAGGCATGATGAGATCCTTTGCAATAGACATAAACCTCACTTGTTTTGACAACCCACTTGATCCTCAAAGGGGGGGGGGTTGCACAGGGAAGGCGGGTGGGACTCTGGCCAGACCTGGAAGAGACGGGCTAGAATTGAAGCAAGGGGAGCCAGGACAGCGGTCCCTGCAGGAATGTTTAGGGGCAAGCCAAGAGGCTGTGAAGTCTGAGCCCGCCTGCTCCCCACTTCCAGCAGGGCGATGGGCAACCACAGGGGGCTGGGCTGAGCGTGCACGGTGGCTCGCAAGGTGAGGCGGCTCCACCAGGAGCATTGTGTTCGTGGGTGCAGGGGGGGCACTCTGGCCGCCCTGGCACGTGTCGGCGCCAGTAGACTTTTAAGTTGTGAAGGGGTGTGGCCGTGTGGGTATCAGAGTGCCGATGGCTGGTGCTGGTGTTGAGGGCTGACTTGTGTCTGTGTTGTGGGTAAGTAGTGTAATGACCGTGCTTGTGTTCCAGGGTGTCCAGGGATGTAGCTAACAGTCTGGTTACAAGGGTGCCTATGTGTCTTGGGGTACTCAGGGTTTTAAGAAGTATGGCTGTTTCAGAGGGGGTGATCGGCTAGATCTTGGGGTACATGGCTATGAGTATGTGTGTCTTAGTGTTGCTGTGTCTGAAAGGAGGGTGACTGGCTAGATCTCAGGGTTCCAAAGTGTAGGGGTTGTGTCTTTTTCTAGGAAGTGGTTGACTGGTCTTGGGGTTCAGGGTAAGCCACTCAGCCAACCTTGGGGGTGTGGAGCTTGTCTTAGGTTAAGGGGTGTGTCCAGATGACACAGACGGTGACAGCTGGCTATTGCAGTAGTGTGTCCTGGTGCTAGGTGACTTCCCTGGTGCTAAGGGTTGATGGTTGCTTCCTCAAGGGGCTGCGGTTTTGAGGTGTTGAGGGAAGTGTCTGCCCTGACATCTCTGTCATCAGACACTCTGGCCTCAGTGCCATGCTGGAGGTGAGACTGTCCAAGTTCAGGGAATGACAACGGCCAGACCCAAGGCACCAAGAAGTATGGTGCTGGGGACAGGTGTGATTGCAGCTGGGTCTGAGGCTGTATGTACAGCTCAGGGCGCTGACACTCCTCCTAGGGTAGGTGGTGAGGCTGTGGCTTTGTCTCCACGGTTAAGGGTATGTCTTTTTGGCTCGGGACCACTGCGTCCCAGGCGTTGGTCAGCTCATCCTAAAGTGGAACCTAGGAACTAGGGGAGCCATCAACAGAGAAGAGAGACTTTGGGTAGCCAGGCTTCCTGGCTCCCGTCCCCCTTCAGCTCCTCTCCCCTCCCCTCTGGGGTATGACTCGCTGGGCCTTGGCCTGGGCTTAAGCCCCTGTGTAAATACTGGGCGGATTCCCTGGCCAGGCTGGGCCTGACCCAAGGCATTGGGTCTCACCCAAGACACTGTCATCTACCACCCACCCCGACATCCACGCTTCACTGGGGCAGGGGTTGGGCCTCAACCCCACAGCTCCAGTAAGGGCAGCAGCAGCACCCTCTGAAGTCGCCCCAGGCCACCCCGAGCCACACTCACATTTTCCAGTGTTTAGATTTTATCTGCAACAAGAAGCCCGCCTGCAGGAGGAGGGGGCTGCTCCCACCCGGCTGGGGGGAGGAGGTCCAGGGCCCAGGGCAAGTAACCCGGGGGAGCTGGGGGGAGGAGGGAGCCTGCCAACTGCCAGAAAAGTAGAGAAGGGGTCTCTACCACCCCAGGCCCCCTGTGGGAACAAGGGCTCTGAGCAGCCTCCAGGGCGGGGCGGAGGAGGAGGGAGGAGGCCAGGAAGCTGAGGAGCCGCCCCATAGGGAGGGAAGGAGGGAGGGAGAAAGAGAGGGAGTGGCCTGCTGAGAGTCAGGGCGCAGCGGGTGTGCGGCAAGTGAGCAGCAGGGGCATGCAGCGGGCGATGGGGACCCAGGGTCCCAGGCAGCACTGGGTAAGAGGCTGGGGCGTAGGGCCTTTGGTTGGGGAGAGGGCAGGAAAGGTTGGGGGCAGACCCGTCTGTCCACCCTCCCTGTCCATCTGACTCACTACCAGGATAGGGAGGAATGGACTGTCCTGGGTGGGCCTTGAGGCCTCCAGGGCCCAGGCATGGAGAGGGCAGGAGTAGAATTGTGAGCATCCAGGTTGATGGCACGGTGACCAAGGGCAGGACTTGGGTTAAGAGATAGCCAGGGAACAGAGAGATGTGGCCGGGGTTGGGGGGGCAGAGATGGGCCCATGGGGACAGAGATGTAGTCAAGGAAACAGACAAGGCATTGGGACAGACACATGGCTGAGAGGACAGAGATGTAGTCATGGGGACAAAAATGTGGCAGAGGGGGATAAAGATGGGACCATGGGGATGGAGATGTGGTCCTGGGGACACAGGGCTGTGGAGACAGATGGGGCTGTGGGGAGGGGCGCCCATGGGGGCAGAGACAGGCTTCAAGGATGGGTCTGGAGTGAAGATGATGCAGTGAAAGGCAGAGATGGGGCAGTGGGGCTGGGTGGGTCCCTGGAGTCAGCAATGGGGCCATGGTGTTAGATGGGACCAGGCGACAGGAATATGGCAGTGGTAAAGATGGAGACGTGGGAGCCCGGGAATTTGGAAGAAGGAGCTAAGATAGAGCAAGGGGGCAGTGGACCGCAGAGGTGGGGTGGTAGTGGTGGGAAGCAGAGAAGGGGTCGGGAACCCGGCCGTGGAGCATCATTTCGAGTTGCCAAGGGCAGAGGCCCTGTGAGAACACCGTTGCTCAAATGGGCCCTGAACCTGACAGGCCTTGATGAGGCCGCCGACTGGTCCCAACCCGAGTGGTGGCGCTGAGCCACTTGCACGCCTCACTTTGTCCTCGTTTCCTCTTCCCAGCCCCCCGGCACCTGACATGGGCCCCTGCGGGCCCTTCAACCTCAGCCTGGTCGGCGAGGCGACCACGTGCGAAGCACCCGGGGCTCCCAACGCGTCGGCCCCGCCGCCGTCGGGCCGTCCGAGTGCGTCCCCGGCGCTACCCATCTTCTCCATGACTCTGGGCGCCGTGTCCAACATGCTGGCACTGGCGCTGCTGGCGCAGGCCGCGGGCCGCCTGAGACGCCGCCGCTCAGCCGTCACCTTCTTGTTGTTCCTCGCCAGCCTGCTGGCCACAGACCTGGCAGGCCACGTGATCCCTGGCGCGCTGGTGCTGCGCCTGTACAATGCGGGGCGCGCGCCGGCCGGCGGCGCCTGCCACTTCTTAGGCGGCTGCATGGTCTTCTTCGGCCTATGCCCGCTGCTGCTGGGCTGCGGCATGGCCGTGGAGCGCTGCGTCGGCGTCACGCGGCCGCTACTGCACGCGGCGCGCGTCTCCACGGCCCGCACGCGCCTGGCGCTGGCCGCGCTGGCCGCCGTGGCCTTGACCGTGGCGCTGCTGCCGCTGGCGCGTGTGGGTCGCTACGAACTGCAGTACCCGGGCACCTGGTGCTTCATTGGCCTGGGCCCGGCGGGTGGCTGGCGCCAGGCGCTGCTCGCCGGTCTCTTTGCTGGCCTCGGCCTGGCCGCGCTGCTTGCCGCGTTTGTGTGCAACACGCTCAGCGGCTTAGCCCTGCTGCGCGCCCGTTGGCGCCGCCGCTCTAGACTGCGCTCCCCACCCTCAGGCCCGGACGCTCGCCGCCGCCGCTGGGGGACGCGCACAGCGTCCGCCTCGTCGGCCTCGTCAGTCGCCTCTGCCTCCGCCGCCTTTGGCGGCTCCCCGGGCCGCGGCTCGACGCGCGGAGCCCGAGCCCACGATGTGGAGATGGTGGGCCAGCTCGTGGGCATCATGATGGTGTCGTGCATCTGCTGGAGCCCGCTGCTGGTGAGGGGCGCAGCGCCCCTCCAGCTACGCCCCTCCCTGCTCCCGACCTGGTCTGCCCCTTCACATCCTCCCACGTCCTCCTTTCTGGGTTACCCTGGGCCTCTCCCTCACCTGCATCGCTGCTCTGACAGTAGAGTCCACCCTTCCTCACAACCTCCTTATCATCCCCTTTCCCTAGAGTCCTTAGAGCTCACCCTCCTCTCCCTCCCGCCAGTTCCCTCTAAACCCGGCTCTGCCCTCCGGGGTAAATCATACGCTTTTCCCTTTCCATATTGTACCTTTCTCACCTGCCTCCTTCCCCCATAATTGGAGTCTCTCCCGCTACCCGGGCTCACCCTCGGTCCCGCCCTTCTAAGCCCCACCCGTTATCCCCACTGTCCCCTGTCCTTCGGGATACCTGGGACTTTTTTTTACCCCAGATCCTAACCCTAAAGACCTTTGTTTCTAAACCACAGTCTCTGAATACCTGCTTCTTCGTCTGCGTTCCATAGCTCCTCCCACGTATACCCCCCAATTACCCTCCCCAAGACGCCAACCCTCTTCACTGCCCAACCTGCCAGCCACGCCCCTCCCCTGCTCCGCACTCACACTCGCGTCTTCCCACCGCCCGCGGCCTTTCCCACGCCCCCTGCTCTCCCAGGCCCGCCCCCGCCGCTGACACCGGCTTCTCTACAGGTGTTGGTGGTGTTGGCTGTCGGGGGCTGGGGCCCCAGCTCCTTGCAGCGGCCGCTGTTTCTGGCCGTGCGCCTCGCCTCCTGGAACCAGATACTGGACCCCTGGGTGTACATCCTGCTGCGCCAGGCCGTGCTGCGGCAGCTGCTTCGCCTCCTGCCACCGAGGGCCAGCACCAAGGGCGGCCACGCGGGGCTGGGCCTGACCCGGAGCGCCTGGGAGATCAGCTCGCTGCGCAGCTCCCGGCACAGTGGCCTCGGCCACTTCTAAGCGCGCCAAGAGACCTTGCAGCTATGTCAGACCACCGCGGGCCGGGCATACGGCGCGAAGCCTTCGGGGAATAAAGTCACTTTCCTACAAGCCCAGCGCGGTGTGTCCCCTTGGGGCTGCAGCGCTGACTGCGGCCTCGCGGGGGCGGCAGAAACGCCTTTGTCACTAGGGAGGGTGAGGTTGCGGTACTGGCCACGTGAGGGCGCAGACAACGAAGCTCAGTTCTCAGGAGGCGGGTGCTCAACTCTCAGAGCTGGAGCTGCAGAAGCATGCGCAGAACGCCGCCGCAGCCCAAAGCCAGAGTGGTCCGGGCGCTCTGGCCCACCTCCGGCCGCCAGGATCGACTCTCAGCCATTCTACTCGTCACAGCCCCAAGCCCTCTCCCATCGCCGCCTCCCCATGTGCCCTACCACGACCACCTTACCCCTAACAGTCCCTAAACCTCACCTTTGCTTGACACTTTAAAATGTCCCCCCACCTTAGCCCAGAGCACCTCCCATCACTCCCTACACACCCTGCCCCCCAACTCTCCCATGTCCATGTATCCCACCCACTCCAGTACTGCACACAAGAATAGAGAGAGGATGCATGAAGGGGGGTAAACCCCAAAGGCCTTTTTAAAAACTACTAAGAGCTCGGTGGGGGAGGGGGGAAGGACTTAGCAGCCGCCCGCCAAGAAGTCGAAGTCTCGGAAGGCTGCCTGCTCTGTGGCGGTGAGGGGCCGTGCATCGCGGGGTGGGCTCAGCGTAGGTGCCTCCCCCGTGAACTCCTCGTCAAAGTTGCTGACATCGGTGCGGCCGGACAGTGTTGGTACGAAAGGTGGTGGCAGGCGTCGGGCCAACAGGGCGTCCCAGCCCAGTGTCTGCGGGACAAGGATGGAGTCGGCATGGGAGGCTGGGGGCCAGACGCTTCGAGGGGACAGCCCCTCTGCCCCATCCAGCTCTGGGCTTGTAGGGACCAGCAGGAATTATAAAACAGAGGGAAAAAAGTGGGTAGAGGGAACTGAGGGCTCAGGGAGAGTCACAGTGCTGGAGGGGGTGAGTAGAAGGGTTAGCAGGGTGGGAGGTGGCCAAGGAAGGAGGGGGAAGGAGGTAAGGGTATCAAGGGGAGGTGACAATGTTTGAGGGGATGACCAGGCCCTTTAGGCAGAAAGACTAGGTCCTTGGGTGGGGATGACTAGGTTCTTGGGAGGCATGGCTGGGGCCTTGCGGGGGTAACAACCCTTCTGGGGGATAACCAGGCTCTTGAGGGGGGTGTCTGGGCCCTGGGGGGGTGACTGGACTTTGGTGGGGAGTATCTGGGTCCTGGGGGGTTGGGCTGTAGTCAGGGGGTGTCTGGGTCCTGGCAGGGTTGGGCTCTGGTGGGGGGATATCTGGGTC